AAGTTTCAAGATATTTTGATAATTCTTCAAGATTTAAATTATATGAAGTGGTTAAAAGTTCAAAGATCGTTAATATGTCCATTTCCTTGAGTGAAACAGTGCCACCATAAATATATCTGAATAATAAAAAACCATAAAAACAATAATAAGTAGACTTTAATAAATAATTATATGATAGTTTATACAAAACTTACTTAATTATAATGTCAAAAACTTTAATGGTAATATCTGGTTCATTAATTTCTTTAATGTTGTTAATATTAGGTGATATATCTTTCAATTGTTGATATAAATATGGACATCGATATTGTAAAATAATTGAATGTGCCTTGAAAGACTGTGTTTCTACTTTTCCAATGTTAATAATAACATTATATTCGTCACTATTTTCTAAAAGTTGAGTATAGTTAGAAGATAACCTATCGTAAAATTTCGCAATCATTTTTATTAATTTGCCAAAATTTTTTCGATGCGATATAAACGGACATAATAAATACCATAAAACGTTAATCATTTCATTAATCATTTGACCATAATATTTTGTTAATGTTTGTAGTACATAGCTAATATTAAACGAAATTGTCAACGATTCGGTACAGTTACAAGAAAATCCGTTTCTCAATACAAATTACCAGTAATGAATGATGAGTACATGTGTATTCTTGTTATTTAAACATATCATTTCAATGCTTGCAGCCTCGTTTACCATCATAGACTTCTATGTCAAAGCAGTTATATTTTAAATTAATACTTTAGTAAAAGCTTGTTTACTAATAATAAAACAAGGCACAAAAATAATTAAAATTGTATTTTTAATAAAAACTTGGCAAGATTTTGAGCAATGAATTTTCATTCACTAATAAAAAAAATTGTTAAGGTCGTTAAAAAGTATAAAAAAGAAAAAAACAATTTGTCCCAAATTTAAAAAGAATATAGTATTATTTTTAATTGTCTAAATTCTATCAAAAGCATCGTTTTTTTTCTAGAATGCTCGAGAATATATTCAACCAATCTGATTTGCATAGTTTGTTGTAAAATATTCATAAATATCATGTGTCTAAATCAGTTCGGTACGTACGTACATACAAAAATCACTCTCAAACATCGCACAATCAGCCCATATGACCAGTAGGGATGGTAAAAAAAACGGGTTAAACAGTTGTTTATACATTTTTATTGCTTTTTAAAAAAAAGGTTTAAAACATTAGTGGCTGATGTTGAAATTTGGGCTGAAATTGAAATTACTGCAACCAATTTGTTTATTTCAGTTTCAACAAAAAATGAATTCTTTTTAAAATTTGAGTTTGTTAAAAATATTGCCGCTACATGTAAAAGATACTAAGAAATGTATTTTGGTTGTATTTTGGTTGATTTAAAAAAAATTTTTATCAACGTTAATTTATTATATTTCAAATGCTTAATTTACCTATTAGACAAATATTTTTTCTGTATACAGTGTTATATCTGTTGATATTGTAAGTCTAGATCTTACGTGTATGTATATTAAATTATTTTACAAAATATTTGTGCTAGTAAATATCGTTAATTAGTTCTTGGAAATGAACTTCTTGAAAATTAGAAGCAAAACAATGTAATAAAATAATAGGGTTAGGATTAAGCATTTGGTAAGTTACAGGTATATATTTTTACTAAATTTCACCTGAAGCGATGTCGGCTAAATGAGCTGTCGGTGAAGTGATTGTCGGTAAAATAATACGAACCCGAAAAAATGCCAGTGCACATATGATGTATCGTGCATACGCTTTAATTGTATTTAACAAATGGTTCACATGATTAACTTCGAATGTGATACATTTTATAAAGTTAATAAAACTATGAAATTAAAAAACAAGTTTTTAATTTTATAATAATTTTATAATTTGAAAATGGAGACAACTATTACGGGTATCCCAACTATTACAAAGTATATAAAACACCAGGAATTCTGAAATCGGTTTATTTAATGTGATTAGATAAAACCGTACATATGTTGTCACCAAATTGTAAATAATTGTCTCGGATAAAAACAGCTAATGCCGAAAATTCGACTTATTTTAATATGAAATTTTTAATAAATTTTTTAGGGTGTATTTTTTTTGTAATAAATTAGTGACCCCACTTCCAGCTTCAGCCGTTTCTAGTTTTGGCTGTGACAATAATTGTTTTAATAAAAAAAATGTGCCACACCTTCTATGCTTGTTCTTTAGTTAAAATTCATATGCAAATGCATCTCTCGTGTCTCAATGTATCACATGAAACTGCCAATTATGCTTTTGTTCATGAAATTTTGCCATAGCTTTAATACAATCATGTTTGAGATCGAAATACGTGCAGGCGAATATTTGATTACGTTTTAGCATGGAGCATGATAAAGCATGCCATGTCGGCAGATTTTGACAAAAGGATACCACATTGCATGCACCCTAGTGTGGAAGTATCAGTCTTTAAAAGTTTTTATTTTTTACATAAAAATAATAAATTTTAACCTACGACCAGTTATTACTAGTATTATGACATATTGGCTAGTTGTGGGTTATTATAACCAATTATGAATTGCGTATAACCCTATAAAAAATATGACACCTAAATGTTCCGAAAATATTCCGAATTTCTTATTCCAGAAAATTTCAGATCATTATCCGATTGTTTTTCAAGTTCGTATTCCGAAAATTTTCAGGTTTGTTAAAAAATCACTAGGTAATGACCATATTTTGTTCCAAAAAATGAGCATTTTCCGGAACGATTTTTAACATTAATGTTCCAAAAAGATTCTGAAAATGCACTTTAAAAATAATAGCAGATTCGGATAATTTTATGTCAACATTCGGGTCATGTTATGATTTATTTATATATATAATGGTGTTGATAATTGGATTGTTTGATGATTATTTTACATATAGATTAGGAAGACTTTCTTTATTAGCAATAGACCAATCAATAATAAAAGATTCCGAACATGCACTCTAAATATAATATCAGGTTCGAATAATTTCATGTCAAAATTCGGATCATGTCATGATTAATATATGAAATGGTACTGATAATTGGATAATTTAATAATTATTTTTTATATAGATTACAATAAAGGATCATTTTATAATTATCTTGCATATTGTTAGCGGCAGAATGGACTAAACACACCACTAACTAACAAGAGGGAAATGATGGTTGGTCGCTTGTAAGAGAGGGAACGTCAATTAACAATACTTAATAGTGTTGTGAGGCAGATATCAATTTGGCACGGGTCTAAAGCGACTATTAAGTATCATTAAAGTAAGTAAATTGGTACAGTTTGAACAAATGTTGTGATTTAGGTTTATTAGAGAGCTTTTATTAACAATTTTATTGTATTTAAGGCAAATTGTACACGTAATGGTTTAATTACTGTTTGAACAAAAGGGATTTGGCCTCTTATTTATAATAAATTTACAGGTCAAGAAAAGAATCAAGATCAAACATTTTTTCCTATCTCTCTTCACTAAGTCGCCATTGAACTCACATTATCTAACCCTTTTTTATTTAATTTCAACCCCTTTCTTACAGCCATTTTTATTAAAACTTGATGGTATAGACAAAAGAAGGCAATTAGAAGGTAAGTTGAATGACGGCTTCTACATCATCATCATTTTTTACCCATCAAGTTCATTGATTCATTCATTGACTCTTCCAGCAACCCATGTGCTTCTTACTTTCATGGCCACACATCTTACCTGACAAGATAATATTACCTTGACAGCTGTCATACCGAATTGGGTAAGTGTCTTCTGCTTCAATGGGATCATTAATAGAGGCTTTGCTTTCATATGATCATCATTTGATGCTTCATTATATAGAACTTGGCTTGAGCAGATTTCTTGCATATGATTGTTATAGTAGAATTTCGGGTCCCAGAGCACTACAATATGATGGCATTTGCATAACAATTTCATGCTTCTAATATGCAGAATTCTACATAATTCTTAGATACATTTTGCACATGGTTTTGCCAGTAACAATATGAATCAGGAAGATTTTTTATTAGTAATTAGATTATTTTAATAGTTTTATAATTCTGTAATTAGATAATTTCATATATTGTTTCGCTAATAAACAGATTCTTTTCATAAAACAAGAACAATATTCATATTATATCATATCATATTATATCATATTGTATCATATTGTATCATATCCAGCATATATCATTCCATAAATGGAGGGTGTAAAAATTTTCACTTTGGGTTTTGCGATTGTTAATCTCTGCAAAATAGCAATGTAGCGTGATTAGCAATTTTTTAGTAAACCAAATATGGTAAAGATAGCTATGCAAACTTATAACATAATCGTATTACTTACATATCTGGAAGACAATCAGATTTATTAATAATTGCTTTGCATATAAATTAAACCAGATTATGAAATTTTGCATAATAATAGATGTCGATATTTCAGATACAAAATTATACATGCACGTTAAAGCAATTTGCAAAAATATAATTTTGCATTTTACCTATTTGCGGTTCTTTGTTTTAGCCCATTTCTTAGAAACCTTTTCAGTATTTACTCTGAATAGTCTTTTTTCTCTCTATATATTAAACAAAAATATAATTAAAATTGAAACCATTAAGGTGAAATATGAGATATTATAGAAAATTGAATACTATATAATGTTTTTCTTTCTGTATTATATACAAATTTTTTAATACTTGCTAGTATTATTTCCATTTTGCTCTACTGGAAATAATGGCAAATCTGATGATTGAGCATTAATACTGTCATCAACTTCAATTCCATCAAAACTTGTTGCTAGTAATCGAGTTGTAATTCTTGAAGATTTTGAAGATTTCATTTGATGAGTAGTGGCAAATAATTCAAACTTGTCATTATTGTTATTAACTTTAGGCCTATCAATTTCAATTATATTAGAACTTATTGCAGATTATCTGATTGGAATCTTTGAAGATTTTGAAGATCACATTGTGTGAGGTGCAACAGAAGTTAATTCAGATGCATCGTTGTCAATGTTAACTTCAGAACTGTCATCATCAATTATATTAAACCTTGCTGTCAGTGGTTGGGTAAGAATTCTTAAAGATTTTAAGAAGTTGCAAAGTGTAATAGTGGATGATTCTGACTCATCAATATTAGTGGAAGAGGTAAAACTATTGTGCCTTGAAGGCAAATCATTTTTATTAGATGAAATTGATTGAGTATTAATTTCATCATTATCGTTGCCTATAGTGGAATTTGTCACTATTAATTGAGGTGGGTCATTTTTTTGAATCTTAAAGAAGGAATAAAATTTTTGTATTTAGGAAAAGGAGCAATATCTTGGACACGGGCTTCTTTTATCTTGTTCTTGCGATTAGTCTCTACTGCCAATTAGTATAATATTTATAAAAAAAAAATTTTTTTTTACTGATCATTTTCAATCAATTTGAAAATGGCAATAAATAGAAATACAAATTTTTACCCCAATTTCTAATGATATTTTCATATATTTTCTGTAAAACAAAGTCTCTAACCGAAATAGAAAATGTTAGAAAATCATGTTTAAACTATGTATTATAATTATTAGCATTAGTTTTCATATGACAAATATTATTTAATAGAAATATGCATGCATATACATCATTAATAATTTTCTGAATTCTGCCTGGTGTTTGCTCTGATGCATATTTGCCTTTGTAGCAACTTGCTGCTAACCTGTTACACAAGATCCTATAAATATAATAAATTTAATTTTAATAATTATTGTTTTCTATAAAAATAATAATATATAATTATATGTATGTATATATATGTGCTTATATAATTACTTACCCTATAGGACCAGTAAGTATCATGAGAAAGACATAAAAAGTTCTTCTAATCTTCTTTAGGTTTTTTAACCTTTTTCTATTGTTTTCACTTTTTCTTGGTAATGGAATTTTGCGCTAAGCTATGTGAAAACTAAATTATATAATTTTTTTAGAATCTAATAAAACTTTAAAATATAGTGTCTAATAAAATACTTACTGATGTATTGATAACACCTACAATAGTACTTGATAGTGCCAGAAGGGTTTGCATTGGTTCAAAAGAAGTTGGCACTATAGGCTCAGAAAAAGTTGATACTATAGTAGGTTGGGAGTTTTGAGTAACTGCTACAAGTGTTTGTTGTAAAAGATTTGATAACAATTAAAGAAATAATGTGATATTTTAGTTTGCTTCTATGTTTGTATTGTTGTTATTATCTTTATTGCTAGAATGATTATAAAAAAAATTAAAAAGTTTTATTTTTAAGAAAAAATAAAATGTTTATTTATATATAAAAAAATTTATTTATTTTTAATCATAGTGATTAAGAAGTGATAATATAATTTATACTTATATATTTATGTAAGATACTGCTTTATTAATTTATACTAGTTGCTTATTTTTATAATAATTTAAATCATAATGAGAAAACAAGTTTTATATACTTGTACATTTGTTGAAATGCATCTAATAATGTTGGAAAATGTGTAAGCATCTCTACTCATACAAGGCATTGGCAACAAGAAAAAGAATTTCAGAATATATCTACATCTACTTCACTAATTAATATGCAACATTTAAATATAAATCACGACAATATACAACATCATAATGAATTTGAAGTCAAAAATTCTATCTTTATTTTTTTATCTTCTGCATTAATAAACCCTTTTGCTAAAGTTTCAATATTGTCAGAGAGTGTGTTTGATTACGAAAAAGGTATAAAAAATCGATTTGGGTCAATGTTTGATCTTTTAGACTCAAATATTGATCTCATGATAACAATATAATAATAATTAGTGTTTTCAAACTGTTTTATATTCACAAAACATCAATACAAAAAAATTAAATATAATGATCGAAATAATTATTAAGGAATTATACATATTTTAAAAAAAAATAGTATTGAATTAATGCAACTACTTTGTAAATAGAGTCGAATTAATATAACTACTTTATATCAATTATCATTATATTGTGATTCATTATAATCATTAATTTTTGGCTTAGCATGACAATATTATGTAGCCAATTACTATATACTTATGAGAACACAATTATTTTCTTACTTGTTCTTAAAAAATTTTTAATAAAGAATAATAAGAATTCAAATTAAGCACAAATTTATAATAATGTTCTCATGAGTACTTTGAGGACACTAATTTCGACTGGATTATTTTGATAAAAAAATAGATTTACAAGAATTCTTATTTTTTTTTTTAGATTTTGAACCAAAAAAGCCAGAATCTAAACTAGAAAAAAATATTGACAGTAAATTAGAAGGATGTGGTATCAGTGAATTAAAAGTATGTAGTAATAGTGAATTAGAAGAATGTGATAACAGTGAATTTAAAGAAAATGATAGCAATGAAATAGAAAGAAGTAGCAATGATGAACTAAAAGAAAGCGAAGACAATGAATTAGAAGAGAGTGACAATGAACTAGAAGGAAGTAATGATGATGAACTAGAAGAAAGTAATAACAATGATTTAGAAGAAAGTGGCGACGATGAGCATAACGATGATAAACCTATTTCTGTAAGCATTAGTAAATAATACAAATCAAATATCTTTTTTTTTTATTTTTTTATTTTTTTATTTATGATTTTGCCATATACATAATAAGATTAGTTACAATTTTTCTACTTCGATAATATATTAATCTAACTATCTATTTATATCTTGTATAACCACTTTCGTATAGCAAATTACCTTTAATTTCCTATTAAAGAACTAGTCTAAGGTACAACTAATTATAAAAACAGGAAAGGGGATCTTCCAACTAGTGCTCTCTATTATACCTACTTTTTAATAAGTGATCTAGTTTTTTTCAGATTTCAATTAAGAAACCACAAAAGAATTCTTCATCAGATAAATTCTATATCTTTACAGGCAGGTTACACCACTTCTAAATTATTCTGCTCTTATGGAGTTCATCTATACACTTAAGGATGTGCTACCTCTCCACTCAGATCTTACCAAATGGGCATCTATCTTGTCTAAGTTTCCAGGATTTATGTGACCACAGGACTTATCTTGAGTTTAGACTGTACTTAAACAGCTCGCATTTCTTTGTGTAACTTATATATTATATGAATGCTATGTGGGTTCTCCCACTTTTTAGGTTGGTGGATATTGGGTTACAGGACTAAGCCCCAACTTTGATAGGCACTATGCAGCATAGCCCTAACTGGGAAGATTATAGCCGTAACACAAATAGAATTCAAATTTTTTCATCGTTATTGGGATTCAAACCCTAGACATGCCACTTGGGAGGTGACTTAACCACTTTACTAAGTTGCCACACCCTACAAATCAAATATCTAAATCAATAAATTTAAAATTTTATAAATTTTTTAATTTTATTTAAATATAATTTATTATTTTTTAAAATACTTAATACTAATATATAGTTTCTTTTAATTAGATCTAACAGAAAATTTAATTCGGAAGCTCTATCTTTTATATATCAAAAATAAGTATTCTTTAACAGATCAGACATTCAAAAAATTAAGAATATATTTAATATTTTAGATATATCTTTATATAAGCTTCAATGAACATTTAAAAATTTAATTCTGCTTGAACCAAAGCTTGTTGATATGTGCTGGAATTCTTGTTACTTATTTGGCAAAAATGATATTAACTGTGAAGCATGTCCCACTTGTGGAAAACCACGATATGTATCCGGACAATCATTAAAAAAGGCTTAAAAATCTGCCTATTTCTCTATAATAGATAGTTTACAAATGCAGTATAAAGATCCATTACGCACAAAAATTCTTCATTATCAAAAAGAATATACCTCTAAAGAGGAATATTTATCAAATTATAGTAATATTGATAATATTTTGATGGCAACTGATACAAGTCCTTAGTTGAATCAGGTCTATTTTCAGATCCTCGCGATGTTGCTCTAACTGCGTCTACAGATGGATATTAATTATTCAAAAAAAAGCAAAATGATTATTGGATTATTTTACTTCTAAATGCAAACTTACCTCTAAGAGTTAGAAAGGAAAATTTAATGATAGTTGCAATTATTCCTGATCCAAAGTTGCCAAAAGATTTTAATAGTTTTTTATGGCTGTTTATAGAGAAGCTAAAAAATATTTTGAAGATATTTATTAGTTTTACTATATAAAATTTTAAATAGACCCAGCTGGTCTTTTTTTTTTTTAATTTAATACAGAAAGATTCTACAAATTTAAAATTTCAGACCTCATCTGTAGAGAGTATACCCATCATAAATTTTAGTCACTCAGGTTATCTAAATAACTAACTGAATTATAATCCAGATAACTAAACAAATATATAATTTCGGATATCCAGTTTATTACTAATACTCTGTGACAGATTGCTTACTAAATAAAAAATACATTAGCGCTAAAACAATTTAAACACTTTTGTATAGAAATTATATATCTGCCACAGCATATTATTTTAGTATATTGAATCTATTTTTCCACTATCTGGATTTTCTCTAGAGTGATCTCAAAATATCACAGGATTGCGATTCAAGGTAAGTTTTTTACTCAGTTTTTATTAATATCAAAATTTAATCAATATAATAGTTTAACATATGAGAGTTACAAATTACTAAATTCTTTCTTTTTTTTTTCTTTTTTTTATATAAATTCACCAAATTAACTGCTTAAGCATAATTAATTCCAAAGTTAAATCTAAATATTGGTTTTTGAGTTATCAAATAAACAGATACAGCTTCTATTCATCCGCTTATTAGAACATATAAAATTATTTTTTTAAAAGTTTTTAAATTTTTATCTAGATGAGTTAGAAAAAACCAACTAATTAATTTTGAATGGCTCTGTGTTCAAATTTGTAATTTGAATAACAAATATAAATTTTTTTTTCTATAGCAGATATACTGTGCTATAACACATTATCACAAAAAATATTTACATTATACAGCTATATATTATCATAGTCTGAAGACATTTCAGCTATATTCAAAATCATGTGTGTTTCTGGTTATAACACATATAGTAGGTGTTGCTTTTGCTATTTGCATAAAATATATTCTGAAAAAGCTGGCATATATACTTTCCTCTTTCACTACCAAAAGGATACAATAGTACAATATATAATCCAAATAACTTACCAATGCGTACTCATATCAGCTATCTTCAAGACATCAAAATGATAAAAGCAAATGTAGAGCTGAACAACATAACATAGCACGTGATACTGGTGTAATTGGACATAGTATCTTGTTTGAATTGTGTTCAATTAATTTTTCAGCATTGTTTCCAGTAGACATAATGTATGCCCTTTTTGAGAATACAGCATAACACATGTTTCGTCACTTCTTTGGCAAATTTTTTAATAACAAGGAACTTAATAATACTGAATATAAAATTTCAGTTAATAGTTAGAACAAAATTAGAAGGATAATGCAACTTAATTGTAAAAGAATGCCAATGGAATTCAGAAGACCTCCAATTAACATTTAGAAATATTATACCACCCTAAAAGCAAAAGAGTAGTATAATTAGACCATTCTCTATTTGCTTCTACTCCTTCAAGAACATTTTCAAAAAGATAATTCAATTCTTTTAATTGTATATAGTATTATTTATTAAATTTTTATTTTAATTTACAGACACATAAATGGGTGGGCGAAGTTTGTCAAAGCAACTCAATTTTGTCTTGAACTAGTTATCTTTAAAGAAGAGCTTAATGAAATAAAAACACTCTTTATAAGTCTTATTAACTATTATAAACAGTAAATAGGTTTATTTTAAAAATTATGTAGAATAATATTTTATTCAAATTAGAACTATTAAAATTATACAAATTAACACTTTGGATATTGTATAAGGTACTTTAATTATAAGACTACGCAAATTAAATTTTTATTTTACATTATTTGCTGATTCAAAATTTTCAAAACCAAATTTTTTTTTTACTAAAATTTTGTTTAAAACAAGGATAATAAAGCTTATTTTAATAGTTTTTATGAATTTAGTCCAAAAAAATTAATATTATTTAATAGATATATAAGTATTACTCATACTTATTCAAAAAGAATAATATTGAAATTTTTCGGTATTGTTGTCAAGGATTTTTGGAAAGTATAATAATTTACATAGTAAATTAGGGTTGAACATAAAATTATAGATCATAGAATCTTAGTTATCATATCCAAACAAGTAAGTCTTAGATACCTTTGCTATTTCAAGAAAGTATTAGAAGTTAAAAACTTTGGCTACACAAAAGCTATTAATAAGATGTTAACATAGTCTATTAATTTAGAATTAAAGAAAAAATCTAACCACTGATCAAATTTTCAAAATCTATGTAATGCAAAATGAAAAATTAACTTTGTGTAGCCTAATCAGTCACTTTTTTTAAAAAAATTTTTTTTTAAAATAATTATTTGGTATATTAATATATTAAAGAAACCATATGTATAGGAAATATACATATGGCTTAGATTATTTCACTAATTTTTCATAACTTTGATAGCTTAATTTAATATTTTAAGTTAAAAAACTATGACTAATTAAATATCATTTTTGCTACTCATAAAATATAGTGATTATTACTAAAAAGATTCTGAATATCTTCAAGCAGCTCTAATTAGTTTTTATTACCTCCTATATATCACAGAGTCAATTTTTGAAACATGCCCACTGTGAGCAACATGGCAATTCTCAATAGAAAGACTATTTAAAATGTTAATACCTCTGGTTCACTTCTGGCAGAACACATATATGAATTTAATAAAGCAAGTAGCAATGTAGGTACAATTTGCACACTTACAATATTATGCTGAATATAAGAAAAATTTTGAGGATTTTCTGGAAGAGCATTAAACTTTCTTATTAAAGCACGCTTCTAATGAAGAGAAATTATATTCATTGTCTAAAGAATATATGATGTCAAAAACTGAAATCTAAAAAGTTAAGCAGTACTACGCAACAGTATTTGATTTAGCTATTAGCCGCATTAAGGTATATATATATGTACATACATATGTACTATATATGCAGTGCAGAAAATTAGTGAAATAATCTAAGCCATATGTATATTTCCTATACATATGGTTTCTTTAA